AAACAAAATAGCCATAAAGTTAAACAACAATGTCTATTATTAAACCATCGTTAAAAAATCAACGTTTCAGATCAGTCTTTAGAGTAATCACAACAAAATCCTATCTCCATTAAGAGCTGAGAGAAGCAATTTAATTTTCAGCTCGGCTTAAGACGTCCCTTTGAACAAGTTCCAGTCGAACAAACAGCAACCACGGTCCATTCATTCCTCCGATAACGTTCATATCACGGTTCACTCCTTGCATCAGAATCGCGTAGAATTCCAATTTGTCCGAAGGAGTCGACGATCGATCGATCGACCGTATAACGAGCAAACCATCGAACAAATTCCACTCCGGCTCGTGTTTGTCGACGTTTTAAAAATCTTGGAGCATAGATCGGAAGCTGGCCGCTTAAAAAACGACGACGCTTTAATCTCATCCCACCCGAAGTGAGTGCTCGCTGAAAACAACGTGCGAGAGAGTATTCGATCCTTCGTTCTGTGGCGTGGTAAGCTAAGAAGAAGTAAAGGAATCTTTATCGATTTTGCGCGGTCCCGCGGGAAATCGGCTAGCGTTTGAGTGATTCGTACAAGGCAATCTATAAAAGAGAGGAAGCGATCATGCAGTGGAAAGTTTCCGCAACGCGAGTTTCGCGCCACTGCACGAAATGGCTTGTCGAGTCGAAGGCGCAATTTTCCATTATATACTGGAGCACGGTAATCAACCACCCCTTATCATTGCCGTACGTATTCCACAACGGCAACGGACAGCTGCTTTCTGCAGAGTAATGGAAAATAAACAAGGGATATATCGCACGTATACAGCTCGGCCATTACTCCCTCACGTTGTTTCTTTCGAGTCTCTACCCCTATTTCACGTCTCTCTTTCACCATCTACGTCTCTTTGTCTGTTTTTCTCCACGTCCCTGATCGAACGGTTTAAAGCTGATTTTATGCGAAATGCCCTGGCCATATCGTAAATTTCGGAAGGCGGTTCAGCGGGCAAACGAACAGCAGTCGTGTGCTCCAGTGCATCGTTCTCTTCAGATAGCAGGATTTTTATTATCCGTTGCTTTCATTCTCTTTATTTTTTTGCGCAGTCGAATCATAAAGGGGAATCAGATAAACGCCAACACACGATCGCTGTTTGTAATATCCGGTGAACGTTCGCGCCAGAACTCTCTGATTTGTGACCATCGTTTTAAATTTTCGGAAAGTCGACTCCGTTTTAAAGGAGGGAAGAAATCGAGAAAGGGTTGTATCAATTATACGACCATTTTCTCTGCTCACGCAAATATGCGACGTGTGTGTTCCACTGATAATAATGCCATTTATCAATTGCGGAAGCGTATAGGAAATCAGTGTACGTAATTAATTAATTAATTAGAGTGATCGAAATTAAACGCAATCAAGTCGCGTTTAAACTGTGCTGTTAATTACGGCAAAATGTATTACTTATTCCTGAATAAATGCAGTAAATGTAAAAGTAGACCCTTGTTATTACCCTTTTACGCGCTAATGCTGGAATTTATCAAGGGGGATAAGATATTCACGTTCGCGATGATACTTTTGAAGTTCGAACTGTCGAACGATATACATGTAAAACAGATATCTATCTGGAAGATAGTTATGGCCTTTGAAACGCTCTGAGAGAAATTTCTGCTCGTAAAGCGTACGAGTTCATCTCGCCGCAACGATAGCGATCGGCGAATGCGTTCCAAAATTTCGATAGTTGGGGAGACCGCGAGAGATCGCGATCGCTATACGACGAAGACAATCACCGTTACGAAACAGTAATGAACACGCGTTTAATGTACCATCGAAAGTTGTTAACTCTCCTCGTCGATCCATTGTTTGAGAATACTGACCGGCATAGCAAATATACACGACTTTATCGATGAAACAAGTTGTTAGCGTTTAACACGCTCTTCGATAAACAGCACTTTTTCCATCGATCTTTTATGAAACGGTGAAAACCGAAAGTGTTTATCCATGGCTCGTTTTGCCAGCGTTATTCACGCGGCCGAACGTTTTAACGGTGATTAATTAAGCATGCATTTACTAACTGGTCCCTCGCCGATTACAGAAAGAATCGCGCTAATATTATGAAACGCTTTTTAATGGAGCTAGTGGGAGTAGCCGGCACACCGACCACGCGAATAATGTTTGGTTATTACACATGGGGTGGTAATTATGTGAAAAGTGTTTCAACGTGGCAGAAATCCAGTAATAGAGAACTAATTTCCAGCTTAACCTACCTTGGCTCAGCCAACTGTCAATTACGACGTGTTGTAATAAACCTTTGGTCACAGTTGCAATCGGCTTTTCGGTCACCTGCAATTTCTTTCGCACGTTTCTCCTATAATCGTCCTTTTACTTCGACTTTCCGCGAAATATCGTACGATCGTCGTGAAAAGTAAAGAAATCGTTCTTTCGCTTTAGCCTACCCGTAACACCTCGAATTTATTGTTACAAAAAAGAGTTACGCTTAATGCAGACAAATTGTTTTGAGTAAAATTGTTTTCAATATTCGACGCGAATATCATCGATGTCGAATAACAAATAAATACGGTGAAATCCACTCGATGGCAAATTACTTATGGATACTTGCACGTGTTCGCTTTAAATAGAATGTCAAAGAGACCGATGTCTGGTTGAAATTCCGTTGAACCTCGAGCACGTAGAATGCACTGGAACCACGGACAATTCAATCAAACCTTGTGTATACATGACAGTATCTACTTGAGCATACCATCCTCTATTACAACGTCCGATAACCACGGTACATGGCGCACTTGAGTATTCACGATTTCATAAACATCGACATAAAAACTTCACGTAACAGCTTTCTCGGAAAACAAGTATTATGCTAATTTTGTTCAACGTCACTAATTTACATTTTCTGCGTTCCTTATTTTGTCGAGCTTTATTGGTCAACAATGAAAGAATACGTTTATAAAATTCTTTGTTTCGAGCTCAATTTACAACGTTCTTTTTGGTAAAAATATCACAAGACATTAATATCCACGCGCTGCCACGTTTGCGCCATTACGGGGTCAGCTTGTATGTACACGCGTGGGGTAATCAAGCGCAAATGCATGGAACAACCTGGTGGTTCTAGTTGAGAAAGAGGGTGGTAGGGTGTACGAACGCGAATTGTGCGCAGACGATACGCGCGCTCGCTCGGCAAACGCTCGGAAAAAAATTTTTTATAATGGATGTTATGTTCCATCCGCCTGTGTAAACGGCGAAAACCATTCTATCCCCCGGAGAGCGCTTAACATGTCTCGTACGCACAGGTGAGAACCATCAAGTCTCGCACGTTCGTTTATTCGTCGCTTGTGTACGCGTCTCCTCGGGATAAGAATTTCAACAACGACGGCCCTTATATTTATACGCAACGAAATTCCCCAGCCTGTGGAATAAGCACGCCGAATAAATTTTCCAACCCCTTTGCGACCCTCTCTATGCAATACAGCCTGTCTCGGAATCAAATTAATATAAGAGAACAAGGGAACGCCGTCCGCGGGAAACAGATCCGGGAGATAAGTTGTGGAAACGTAACATCGCCAACGCTAATTTATATGATCGCGTTTAATGACCCTTTCATCGGCGCTCTCACATCTCTACTGTGTCTCGAGCAAATTTACTGATGCAGTTAGGAACAAGAGAAATAAAAGTTTATCCTTTTATCTCACAATTTTCCACTGTTATGTTTTCTTATAGAAAGGAGAAATGATAAAATTTATTTTATTTTTAATTTAGGATATATAAGAAATCTACCTTCACAGATCTTTCAATTGAATCTAATTTTCACATGTATTCCAACGGAACATTAAATGGAAATTATCTGAAAGAAAATAGTGGCGATAATGGCAAAGAAATTAATTTCCTTCGGAAGGAAAGCGTGAAAGAATCAATTCCGACTAATTAAATCTCAACGATCCATAAATTCCGGGACGTCATTAGCATTGGGAGACGATCGAAATCGAGTGGATCCGGAGACGACGAAGGGGATGAGCGAGACGTGGCCGGCATTGCAATGCGGAGAACGCGAGCGAGTCGTACGATTTGCAGTCGTTGCACGGTGCATCGTTGCGTCGAGCCGCATCACGTCGTCGATCGGCCACGACGACACGCCGCACGATGGAGAACCGTGGGACGGAAGCAATTAGCAATTAAAATCGGGGGTTCGGCGATTGATCGGTCTAGTATGATACCATGCTGTCCCACGGGCCAATCGACTCTTGGATTATAATTACGGGCGCTAATTGCGTGGCACCTGTCCCCGTTCATTCCTTCCTCTCCTCTTCTACCGATGAGCAGCCGTGTGATTAGTACTCGACAAGGCGGCTTAAAATGTTCCAAGAATTTCATTTCCGTTATCGGCATTTTCGTTCCGCCGTTCGGTGATTAACTGATCTATAACGAAACTTAAGAATATCGAAGACAAGCAGAGAAAGAAAAGTAAAGAAAGCCAGCGATACAATAATGTTCCAAGTAGCAACATGGTAGTTCTAATGAAACCGTGTAACCAACTGTAAAAGATCGAACGCGCATACGATTGAACGTGGAACGCGTGCTTTCTGTAGGCTGCTTTAATTAAACGATTCGAGCAAAGCGATTTCTTTAATATGTTCGAGGATGTCGTTTGAACCAAGAGATTCGATGGTCGGGATGAAAGCGAATTCTGCTCTCTTGATTCGTCTGGTGCGTTTCGATGCTCCAGGTGTACGATGGACATGCGGCAAATGAAAAGAGCCCTGGCATCATGGAATTCTAATAAACGTTCGACCGCGATAGCCAACTCGGAAAACGAAATTCCAGGGGGAACGGCTGAATTCGTGCCGCGACCATGAACGCGTAACGAATACATGCGTCCCTATCTATCCCTGTTTGTTCTCCCTTTTGCTCTCTTTCTCACCCTATCTCGGAGCCAATATTCTCGCGCGGAAATGATAAAGCTCGCACCGCCATGAAATATCGGTACACGAAAATATATATTTTGTAACCAAACTCACGTCGTTTTGAGCGAAGGTCGGCGTAATTGGCCCATCACTGGCTTCCCATTTGTCGGCGATGCGGATCGTCTCCGCCGTTTTCTGCTGCACCGATTTTGACTCGTCGAGCAGCGTCAGCTCGTAAAACTCCTGGATATCTGCAACAGTCCGCAAAGCGTCATATCAAATTAATGCGTCCTCTTTATTGACGTTTACGATAGCGTCCTTTGATTTCAAGCCCTAAATACATTTATACAATATACATGTATCGCCTCTTATAGTGAAATTTGACATTCGATGGTTTAATGTATTACGTATGTTCCATGCATACATACACTATAAATACAGTGTATTGATTTAACATTCAATATAGTAAAATAGATGTATTCTAGTATATTCGACACAAACGTAGATCTGTAATAACGCTTGGTGATATTCTCAAGAAAACGTTAAAGAAAGAAAATAAATATAAAGTATTCAAGTAAATTATTCACTAAATAATTAGGATGTAAACATTCATAATATTCTCATATTAGTTTTCCTTCGTCTATATTCAACCCACGTTCGTTAAGTTAATATTTTATCCGACAACGCAGTCGCATAATTTTCAACAGAGTTCCAAGAGCTCTTCATGACCCTAATCAATTTTCCTTGAGGTTGCACGTTGTTCGAGGACGACACCGAAAATATAATACGGACGACGACGAGTCTACGCGGATCTTTTGTAGCCGGAGTGCGATCGTGTTTCCTTAGTACAACATTTAGCCACTATGGTCTCTTGGGTAGACTGTCGATAGACAAGACATAAATCAAATGACGATAATTTCATTAATTAATTTATCCAAAGGAATATATTATGAATAGGAGGATAAAAGGAAGTCAGTTGATTAGCCAGACGTAGAATATTACAACGAATAATGGAAATATTATAAAAAGAATTTTGAAGAGACAAGAGAGATAACAAAATTTTAATTTTATTAATTTTGAAACTGTTTAAACAAATCATTTGATACTGTAGAGGGAAGCAACGATCAATATTGAATGTCTCGTAGCAACAAGAAACAAGTAAGAAACTGTGATTTAGTTTCATTAACTCTCACCGTCCATATCGTTGGGTTAAAATTATTCTACGGATAGTATGTTTATTTAGGTTGTTCAGCTGTATATTGTCAGTAGTTAAACTTAATTATGGTTAGTTTGATATTATATCTGATAACATTGGTGTATAACGTAATGACATAACTCTGAAATTAACTCCTGAAATTACTCACGAGAGACCAACTAACAAGTGACACTCCTGAGGCCGATACTTCAAGCTAAGTACTTGCCAAGTGTCGATTTATTAATCCTTTGAGCACGCTTCGAATTCATTTTAAGGACCTTGAATAACATTTAACTTCAGGAAATTCAACTGTAACTTCGTAATTTTGTACAGAAACACTTGTCACGTCTTATGTAACTTTTTAAATAATCTCTTATGAACTAGTTGCCTCAGGAAATTATTTAAACGTCAAAGAAAAATTAATAGGAATAATAGCTTGAAAAATAGTAGCAGAAAATAGTTGGAAGATATTTTCCTCAACATTTTCTTAGGCAAAAAAGTTTAAACTGAACTCGCGACCACACGTTGCTACGTGTTAAACATCAAAGGTACCGTTTGTTGTTCGCCGCGAAAAATTCTATGACTTTAATTAACGTCTCGACTTTTTGTCGTTGCGAACAGCAGCCGTCTTTAAAATGTTACCCAGATCCTCTAATTTTTCGTTTTAATTCACATTTAATGGCATTTTCTCCGCGCTCTCCAAATCCCACCGACGAAAGAGCGTGTCGTTGCTACTATTTATGCAACCAACAGGAATCTTTCTCCTCATCCTCTCGGGTAAAACAGCTTGTAGCTGGCTACGGAGTTGAGTACTCGAGAAACTATATTTCGAAGTTGTTCTCGAGAGCTTTTTTTCAAAAGGATAAAACGTAAAATGTCATTGGACGTGATCTCAGGCGAATAGCAACTCGTTCTTCCGCCGTATGCTTTCGTATTTTCTCTATAATTATTGTGAAAATCTTTGTGGTTCGAATCTAAAAAATTTACAGTGTGATTAGTATTTGGAATATTTTCCTTCGTTTCTCGCGAAAAACTTTCTTATCGTTCAAGATAATCAGTATTTACTTGTTCACATTTCTGTCATTGTTTCAGCTAAATAGTAGCACACGAAACAGAAGCTTGGACATGTTCCGTGTACGCCACTTAATACGAAGAAAACAGTATTTCCCGGGTACTATACGAACGTCATATTCTATTTTTTTATTCGAATCCATTCATCCAGTTTCAAAAGTTCGTCGAATGCAAGAACGGAACATATTATATTTTCCGCTCAGGTATACAAATGCATGTGTATGTATGTGACGTATATGTATATGTGTATATTGCTCGATTTCTCAAAAGTCGATATAAACTACGATTTCATTTCATGTCGACTGCGTTAGTGTTATTGCGTTATACATTTTCCAATAGCTTCCTGATTCTATCAGCATACAAACATGCATCAATCCGATCTGCTCGTATCGCTTTTTTTCTTCCTTCTTTTCCTGTTCATGGCACTGGTTCGAAGAAGGATCGTGGGATGTCTAAGTACTGCCAGGACATTTTCCATGCGAAACGCAAGAAATATGGAAAACTTATTTCAATCTCTCGTGCTCGTTTCCTTTTCAAACGGGCTCCGCAGTCAGGTATTTGGGACGGTATGTAAAACGCACATAGAATTTTCGTCGAAACTAATACCGTGCCTGGGAACAACCGCCATGTCAAGATTTATGCGCGACTTCATTCCTTTACCGGTACGATTTCAGGAAAAGAAACATTTACGGAAATTGAAATGCATTATGTAACTGTAACACAACAATAAGTCGATTAGGCAACAAAAGTTTGTCCACGAATGGATACTTTATGTGTGACAAAAGTATGACACTCGATATACATGTGTTTACGGTAACCTCAATCTTTTGGAATTGCATAGAAGATATCTCGAAACCATACGGGTTTCTCTCAATACGAATAAATAAATAATAAGTTTTACTTGTGAATCCTATACGTATTTCAAAGTGGAAAGATACCTATTTAACATACGTTTCATGAAAATTTCATAACATGATTTCATCGTGATTGCAATGATTTCTATATTCGCGTGTTTACATTGATTTCGATGTCGAAACAAACAATGCGGCGAATGAAAACCATTGCGAACAATGTTACGAAGTACATATTTAGGGCATCGAATATTTAAATGTTTATACTGACATAATTAGATATTTCAACGCCACGTAACATAATCGTGATGAACAGCTAATATTAATGTTGAATATTCATTCGATCAATTGATGGAAGTATGTCCGGTGTACGCGCTCGTTGCGTTAATATTTTCTTGTCAATCGATGTTTCTCGAATTAAAAGTTCAATTAGAGGATCCATCGTCCAGGGAACATTAAATCTGTATTTGGACATGTTCTCCATAAATCAACAGGTAAACAAAATCTTTTTACGGTATCGGGATATCACCGATGTTGAAATTACTAAATCATAACATTGAACGAAAGAGAAAGAGGTGAAAAACAAGAGTGTGCAACGACGATGAAAGGAATGTAACGAAGGACAAGAAACAAGAAAATAATATAATAAAAGCAAGAAGAACACATGAGATTCGACAATTTACTCAATGCGAGCAAACTTTTTCTGGCAAATCTTTTCCCCAGTGGTTTGTTCCATGCGCATCCCAATTTCGGTGCAGCAGTTATCAACCGCAAAGTAGTCGCAATGAAAAAAGTTACAGGTACAGTAATTTTTCCGTTATTTCTCTATGCGCCGCCACTTTCTTTGTTATTTTGCCTTGCATTTCTTCTAATCTTCAACATTTGCACACCAAACTACGCTCGGATGGATTCACCCCCATATGCGATGCATTTATCATCCCAACGTGTATTCAACAGCGAATTTCACATGGTCCAGTTCGCCACAGTCCAGTCGTAATTCACGAAAAAATCGCAATCTAATGTAAAAAATGTGTTCCGACACAAGTTCTTTTTCGAACGCAATCGTAGTTATTTTGTTCGAACTACTTCTTCATTTGAAACATGGTCTCGTAAAAGTTTCAACAATGAGATTTTATGCGACAATTACACGCATAACCGCTTCTTTGCGCAGGATTCTTTATCAGTGAACGGAATACCTTTTGCATTTTCAACCAACCATTCTTCATTTTTCCAGCAGCAAGAAAAACAGAATAACGTTAGAACACTCGTTGGAACAGTTTGTTTGTTACTTTTTCGTAATTCATTTCATTTTTTCAAAGAGAGAAAAACAGAGCATGAAAAATAAGCTTCTACCGACATTTTTGAAAATTAATTCCTGTTTTGACTTTGTATGACTTTGAATATTCCAAGTTGCTAAGGTTTTTATCAATTCTCTTAATATACAGCGGTTCTCGAAAGTATTTGAACATTTATAGAAATATTTTATGAATTTTTCAGATTTTACTAAATATAATCGCGACTGTTTTTGTCTCGTTATTATGTTAATAAAATTTAGAGAAGTCCTATATAACAAAATATATCTGTAAAAAAAATATATATATATATATGTCGGAGATGAAAGGAAAGTCGAAGCCTTTCCTTGGAAATTTTGGGAACATCCTCTAGTACTTTAGCCTAGATTTTATTATAGCTGTAATTGTTTAAAATTTGTGATAGCGAGATTGGGTTCGAGGTGACAATTGGTCGACGAACGTAGCCACGGTCACGAGATAAACGTTTTGTCTAACGGAGGTCTGGAGTGATTATATGGGTTTTCCGAGAAGTGTGATTGTGGCGGCATGCGGCCTCTAGAGCGGGCCTAGCCACGTGTGAGGTTATCTCGGAGGTGCCGAGACAATGGGACATACATTGTATCAATAACCAAACTCCAGGCAGAAACTGCCTAGCAACGGCGTTTGGAACTTCTCGATGCTTCTAACGAGTGCGTATCGAATTGCACACGAGGCTGACATTCGTGCGATTGCCTTGGAGAGTGACAAATCGAGCATTTTCGTCAATCGTATTTTGCGCCTAAGATTATTTTTTACGCTTAGTAAAGAGTTATCTCGTTGGCCGTGGATTCGTTTGAACCCAA